ATCCCCGCCCCGCCGCCCCCAGTGCCCCCCGCGCCTCCTGCTGCAGCACCAGCTCCTCCCCCAGCAGCAGCAGCAGCAGCAGCAGCTGCTGCTGCTGCTGCTGCTGCGCCGGCTGAAAATGGAGCCCCGCAGCTCGCAGCAGCAGCAGGACCGCCGCCGCCTTCAGCTGCTCTCTATGAACCCGGGAGACTGCCAGAGGCTGCGCAGGCAGCAAAGAGCAGCACTGATGCTGCTGCTGCTGCTGCTGCTGCTGGGGACTCCGCTGCTGCTGCTGCAGCAGACAGCAGCGCCGCTGCGGAAGAGGCTCCGCCCCCCGACAGCATCGAGGCTGCTGCTGCTGCCTACGCTGCAGCGCAGCAGAAAAAGATGCAGCAGCAGCAGCAACAGGGCGGCAGCCCAGCTTCTCCTGCTGCTGCTGTTGCTGCAGGCTCCCCGTGGGGGGCCCCCCATGGCAGCCCTTGGGGGCCCCCCGCAATGGGTATGGGCATGTTGGGGGGCCCCCCTCAGTTCTTCATGGGCGCAATGCACCACGGAATGGGGCACCCCATGGGGCCCCATGGGGCCCCCATGATGATGCAGGGGGCCCCCATGATGCAGCCCGCAGGAGGGTTCTTCATGGGGGGCCCCCACTACCCTGGCTTTGGGGGGCCCCCCATGCCGGGGGTCGAGGGGCCCCACCCCTACTACATGGGCGGGTCCCCCATGGGGCCCCCTCATGGCCACGAGCAGCACCCGCAGCAGCAGCAGCAACAGCAGCAACAGCAGCAGCAGCAGCAGCAGCAACACCAGCAGCCGCTGCAGCCAGAGCCCCAAGAAGCAGCAGGGGCCCCTCGCCCCCCTTCCCTCGCAGGAGTGACTGTGCTGACCCCAGGGGGGCCTCACCCCTCGCACATGCAGCAGCAGCAGCAGCAGCAGCAGCAGCAGCATCTGCACCCTCACCAGATGCAGCATCCCATGCACATGCAGCAGCAGCAGCAGCAGCAGCAGCAGCAGCAGCAGCAAGCACATATGCGGGGGGGCCTCAGCCCCTCAGCCTACATGGGGGGCCCCCAGATTCTGAGGCCCCCGCGGCCGCCGCCCCCAGGGGCTTCTCACGAGGGCCAGAGCAGCCTGCAGCAGCAAATTGCAATGGCGCGGGAAGCAGCAGCAGCCATCAGCAGCAACAGCAGCAGCAGCAGCAACAGCAGCAGCAGCGGATGGGGATCGGGGTCCGGGGTCCCCCCGCCGCCCCCAGGGCCCCCGCCCCCAGGCAGCTCTGCTGCTGCAGCACGTGGGCAGCAGCAAGATGGAGCAGCAGCAGCACAAACACCGGGAGGCGCTGCAGCAGCAGGCCGACCCTCCATGTCGCCAGCAGCAGCTGCTGCTGCTGCGGCTGCTGCTGCCCTTGCTGCAGCAGCACTAGCTGCGCGCAGGAAGGGAGATGCAGCAGCCGAAGCAGCCAGGCAGCAAGCAGCAGCAGCAGCAGCACAGGTGGAAGCAACTGTGGCCAGCCAGCAGCAGCCGCAGCAGCCACGGCTGCCAGCGAGCGTTATAGCAGCAGCAGAAGCAGCAAAGGCAGCAGCAGCGAAGATTTCTGCTGCGCTGGCTGGGAATCTGAAGTCCTGAGGCCCCCCAGGGGGCCCCCAGAGGGGCCCCCGGGCCCCTGGGGCCCCCCGGAGGGGCCTGGGGGCCCCCCAGGGGGGCCCCTGGAGGCCCTACTCTGTAGAACCTGAATTGGCTTGTTGAGTGGCCCCACAAGACCTGCTGCTTTACCCTTTTTGTGGCGCAGCTGCAGGCAGCAGCAGTGCTGCTGCTGCTGCGGCAGTGCTGCTGCTGCTGCTGGTTTGGGCGCTGCTGCAGCAGCAGTTCGGGCACCAGCAGTTCGGCGGCAGCAGCAGCAGCAGCTGCTGCTGCTGCTGCAGCAAAGGCTGCCTGCCCGCCACCAGCACCTAGAAAGCAACTGGATTTGACACTTTCAGCAGCAGAAACAAAATTATAAGTTCTTAAAAGCCCTGGCTTTTGTGGGGCTGCATGCCCCACAGGGCCTTACACATTTGGCTGGGGGGCCCCTGGGGGCCCCGGGGGCCCCCAGGGTCACCTTCTTCTTCAAGTAGTGTTTGTGTTTATTAATAAAATGTTTACTAATAATTAAATGTGCTTTTCTTGTGTCATGAACTTGTGGAAAATAGTTCTTTTGAGGTGTGAAAATGCATCTTCGTTTTCTCGAGTGTATGTACAGATCAATGCTGCGCTGCTGCCAGCTGCTGCAGCTGCATTCCGCCGTCTCCCGGCAGCAGCAGCAGCAGCGCAGCAGCAGCAGCAGCAGCAGCGCGGCAGCTGCAGCGCGGCAACTGCGGCGCAGCAGCAGCAGCAGCACAGCTGCAAATGCACAAATGCGCTTGGTTAAGCTTTCCCTTACTTTCCGCTTTCTGCGCAGTTCAGCAGCTGCTGCAGCAGCTGCAGCAGCAGCAGCAGCAGCAGGGACGCAGCTAGCCAACACAATCAGGGGGCCCCCACGGGGGCCCCCAGGGGCCCCCGGGCTTCCCCTGTAGCCCTCTTGCGGCTTAAAGGGCTGCTGCTGCAGGTGTCCTGCTGCTGCTGCTGCTGCTGCAGCGGCAGCCAGGACAGAGGCAAACAGAGAGACACGGGACACACCTAAGAAGTATGGGAGCTCGCTGCTGCTGCCTGTTACTGCTGCTGCTGCTGCTGCTGCTGACGTCGCCCACACTGGCAGCACTTGTGACATTGACAGACGAGCACGCATGCGTGCATGCATGCATGCATGCGTGCGTGCATGCATGCGTGCGTGCATGCATGCGTGCATGCATGCATGCATGCGTGCCACACTTTGATAGGGCTTCTGGTAGTGACAGCCTGCATGCATGCATGCAATTGTGCGGGGCCTCTGGCTCTTCTCGCCTCTACTGCTGCTGCTGCAGCATCTGCTGCTGCTACTGCTGCGTCTGCTGCTGCAGCATCTGCTGCTGCTGCTGCTGCAGCTTCTATGCGCGAAGCACGAAGCACACTGAGGGCACTTCAACTAGTTTTCGCAGAGAGTGCATGCATGCATTTGGTCTGCTGCTGCTGAGGCCCCACGGGGCTGTTTTGTGGGTGGAAAGCATGCAGTAGAGTTTAGTGTGCATGCAAAATAAATAGAATAAGTATTTAAATGTATAATTATATATTATAGGATATTAATATTAATAAGTTTGCAGCTAAAGAACTGCACAAGAGATAAATATAAGCTAGTTTGCATGCATCGCTTTGGGACTTTTGAATTGTTCAGATTAAAGAACCTCTCAGTTTCTTTCTTGAGCTGCTTCAATAAATAAATTACTAAACAAATAAATAAGACTATTTATAAACAAATAAAGAGAACTCCTTCACATTTGCGCAGCAAACAGCAGCAAGGGCGGGCCCCACACGGGGCTGCATGCCATTCGCTCCACGGGCTGCATGCAGCAGCAGCAGCAGCAACAGCAGCAGCAGCAACAACAGCAGCAGCAGCAGCAGGCAGTGCCACTCCACTTTCGCGGCTGGCTGGGCAGATAGCCCCACAAGTGGGGCCCCGGGGCTGCTGCGGGCCCCTAGGAGGCCGGGGGGCCCCCCTGTGGGGGCCCCTGGCATCTGAAGCCAAAGGCACAGCTCTGCTGCTGGGGGGCCCCCCGGGGGCCCCTCGGGGGCCCCCCGGGGGCCCGGGAGCCCCAAACGTTTGTTGTTCCTTTTTTTGTTTATATATAATTCAGAATGGATTTCATTTGATGAACAAATGTTTGATTTATATATTTGCATTAAAAGGCATTTTAATAAGTATAATTAAATGCAATATCCGTATTATATTAACACATATGCATATAATGGCACTTGTTTAATATATAAATATAAATCTTATATTATAAAGCAGCATGGCAGCACCATAATATAAATAAATTTCATTTTCATATATAATGGCACTTGTGCAATATAAACATAAATAATATAATATAAATAAATCTAAAGTCTTTATTATAATATGATTATTATTATAAAACTACAAATTCATAAAACGTTACTTTTACACAAGTCGGGTGCAGAAGGGCGCAGCTAGCTGCTGCAGCTGTGGCTAGCTCTGGCTAGCTGCGGCTAGCCGTAGCTAGCTGCAGCGAGCTGGGGCAGCTAGCTATGGCTAGCTGCTAGCTAGCCATGGCTCCCTGCGCTGCTGCTGCTCCCCTGCAGCTACCTCAGCTGCTGCTGCTGCTGCTGCTGCTGCCTTTGCAGCTTTGTTTGCTGCAGTCAGAAGCAAGGAAATAAAAGTGATTAAAATTAAATTAAAATAGACACTCTAATGAAGAACAATTAAATAACACTTTATATATACATGTAAAGACTAATAAAATAATATTCCTTTTTATAATCTTGTTTTATCTTCTAAATTTATTTGTTTAAAAGTGTTTACGCAGATGTGAAGCAGCAGCAGGCGCGGGGTGTACAGACACCTGAAGCCAAATCTGCTGCTGCATGCAGAAGTGGCTGCCCTCGGGTGTATAGACACTCCAGCCCTTCATACCTATTTAGAGTCAACGCGTCTGAGCTAAACGCCCGCCAGCCATTCAAGCTGCTGCTGCTGCAGCTGCTGTTGCAGCTGCTGCTGCAGCTGCTTCTGCAGCTGCTGCTGCAGGTGCTGCTGCAGCAGCTATACAGAAGTATAGATTAAGAACAAATGGCTTTACGGGCCCGCATGCAGAAAGGAAGCATTCTGCATGCATGCATGCACATGCATGCATGCATGCATGCATGCATGCATGCATGCATGGACTAACGGCATTGCATTTGCAGCTGCAGCAGTCAAAAAGTTGAGCTCTTTATGGAATTAACATCGGCAGGAGTGCACAAAGGAGTCGTAGTTACATAAAAGGCATTTAAATAGATTTATTTAAATGCAAACATTCCTTTAAATCATTTAAATAGATTTACTTAAATGCAAAAGTTCTGTTAAATCCTTTAAATAGATTTATTTAAATGCAAAAGTTCCTTTAAATCCTTTTTCTGCATTTGTGGCTGTCTTGACCTGCCACAGAAAGAAAACAAACACTGCAGCCAACTTGGGAATTTCCAGAAAGCAGCTTTACATACAATTCCACAAAACTAAAAATATATATATATACACACATATATTTAAATATAAATAACTATACATATATATATATATACGTACACATATACATATATATGCATATATATATATATATATATATATATATATATATATAT